AAAAAAAAGGGATATTCTCAACGGTAACCCCCAACATTTGCTACGCACCAATGATAACCTCCTTTTTTTGAATTATACAAAATAACCTTAATTAAAATTTTCATCTCACTCATAACCTTATTTCATTAAATTAATTAACTATAGTTAGATTTATATTTTTAAAAAAAATAAATAAATAAAATAAAAAAATTAACCCAACCACCTGCCCAGCCACCCCCACCTGCCTAGCCACTCCCCAACTTTATTTTTTTCCCCTTTCTTCTTCTTCTACCCTTTCCCCCTCCATAACTTCAGGCCACCACCTCCTCGGCCTCCTGCCCCACTTGCCTTCCGGCCACCCAACCCAAAAACCCATCCCCTTCTCGTCCCTTTTCGATTTCCGGCCACCCCCACCTGCCCAAACCCCATCCCCTGCGCCGGCGAAGCTAATTCGCCCACCACCCAACGTGCCTGAATCCCGCGACCCCACTCCAGCCCTCGCTGGAAGCCCACGTTGCGCCGAAATCCATAAAACCCTCTTCTCTCTCCCAAAGGTCTCCCCTTTTAACCCTTGTCAACCCACTTCGAGTTAACTCACTCCAACTCACTAAACCCTCCTTCATCATCGCCGTCTCTTCTCTCTCATCAAAGCTTAAACTCGTGTTCCTCTAATGTCCCTGTCATCTTCCTTGATTCGCTTGAATTTGAATCAAATTGACTTACCGGGTCCCACAACCTCTAGTTACAATACCTCAATCAAATTCCGCAGTGGGGTTTGTTGTTTGGGATGGGGTCAGTGGGGTTTTGGAGTCCGATGAGGGTGTCAAAGAGGTTTTGGGTTCTGGTGAAGGGGGGTGGGGTTTGGTGTTTCGGAGTGGGTTTCGGTGGGTTTTTGTGGTCCGGTGAGAGTGATCGGGAAGAAGGGGTTGGGTTTTGTGAAAGGGGGTGTGGTCAGGTGGAGTTTTGGGGTCAGGTGAGGTGTGGTTTAGGTGATGGTGTCGGTGGAGGTGGGGGTGGCTGGCAGGTTGGGGGGTTAATTTTTTTAGTTTTTTTTTTTTAAATATAAATCTAACTATAGTTAATTAATTTAATGAAATAAGGTTATGAGTGAGATGAAAATTTTAATTAATGTTATTTTGTATAATCCAAAAAAAGGGGGGTTACCATTGGTGCGTAGAAAATGTTGGGGGTTACCGTTGAGAATATCCCAAAAAAAAAAAAAACAGGAAAAATAAAATTTGTTCTGCCTTCACCATTGCTAAAAATCCTCTAAGGTTCTTGCTCCGAATTCGCACTAATTCTTCCCATCTATCCTCCAATTGCTCTAGGTGAACATGTAATTCACCTTTAATAATATCGTCTTTTAGGGTTTTCGAATTTTAGGTTAATGGATTATGATTTTGGTTGATTAACATAGGGATTTTGTATTTTTCTTTGAATTAAGCTATCGACTAAGCTTATTATGTGATTTTTCTTTGGATTAATCTATCAATAAATTCTAATGTGGAATCGTAAATTGTTTCTTTTTCAATCCTCCTCCTTCAGTAATCCCTCCCTTTGCCTTCATTGCTCGAATTTCAGGTTAATTTTTTAAAGTAAGGGATTCGTTATAGAGCAGAAGATTCATTTGTAGAGTGTTCTTCAATTTGATGAAGGTTGAAGGTCAGATGGTCAAAGTGAAGGTACGAGAGAAACGAAAGGAAAGGGGGGTTTTAGTTTAGTTAGGGTAACCATGAGTTAGGGTTTTTTAACTTTTTTTTTTTTGGGCGTTTAAATGGTTAAACATGAGTTGAGGGGAAAAAGTGACATCATAAATGGTATAAAGTGAAATCTTGTAGTAAAATCATTTTTTTAACATTTCTTATGGTAGTAATTCACAAATTTTTAATTCGTGATATAAATTTTCAAAATGACATTAATACGCAGTAGTAATTAAAAAATTTTCCAAATTAAAAACATGAAGTAAGATTTTTTTAAGGATTTTTTAACATAAACAGACAAACCTTTGGCCGGTTCTCCCATATTAGACAAACCTATAAATCTGCCCATATTGGACAGAAGTTTACCAGTTTTCGCACATAATGGACTTACAGGCAACCGGTTGGGAAGTTAATAAAATAAAATAAAAAAATTAAAACAAAAAAACTTAAACCCCAATCCACTGCTAGCCCCTCTTTCCCTGACCCCACTACTAGCCACCCCTCCTCCCTCCGTCTGACGGCAGCCGGCGCCCAACCCACCCCGACCCCACTTTCAAACCCTAAACCACCTTGTAAAGCAGCCTCTAATTTTTCCACATTATTAATATCAACCTCAACAAATTCAGAGGAAAGAGAAAAGAAGGAGGCAGGAGAAAAAGGGGGAAAAAAAATTATGTTGTTTAAAAAAATTATCAAAATTTAAAAAAAAAAAAAAAAAACTTGACTAATGATTTAATGACAAGTGGATTTTTACCTAGTATAACAGGTAGGGTGACCTGCTTGGTCCATTTTGGGAGAAAAAATGCAAACTTCTGTTCAATATGGACAGATTTATAGTAGGTTTGTCCAATATGGGAAAACCGGCCAAAGATTTATCTGTTTATGTTAAAAAATCCTTTTTTTTTTAAAAAAAAAAAAAATAAAATTTAAAAACATGAAGTAGGAATTTAAGTATCCAACGACCTTCTACACATAACCGTTGCACTTCTGACGTAATTATAATATAAATTAAATAAAATACAAACATTGAATTCTGTTTCAACTTTCAAGTTTCAAAATTAAAAAGGGATAATCCAAAAAAATAAAGAAAACAATAATGGCAAAAAAAGGTTGGAGTCCAGCTAAAATAAGTTAGTGTATCCTTCAGCACGTACATAAAAATGTGCTTTTGGTCATATCTGAACACCGACAGAATTGCCAGAAAACTTTGGATAATTGGATATACATCAAACATTCATCAAGTCGGTTGAGCTAGATCGGAAACTGATCGTTTTAAAAACTTCATATCAAATTGAAAATTGTACTCGTATAATTTATTTGCTGGATTTACATCAAACATCTATCAAATTGACAAAACAAGATTGGAGTGCATGTAATTCATTTGTTTTATAATATTAACTTTGTTTAGAAAAAGTTGTACCATTTTCAAATATTCTAAATTTGCAATATTCATATTCTTCTTTGGTATTTTTTTAATTTTAACCATTGGAGTTTCATGTATAAAAATGCACATATAATCATTAATATTTTGAGTTAATTTTTGATGGATTGATATATTGAAAGTGGAAATTGTAAGCTCTTCTATTGCTATGATTGGTTCATTAAATTTTGTTCGGAATTATGTTATTTAAAATTATATAGTTTAGAAAATGTTTTTTTTTTTTTTTTTTATTTTTTTTTGAATAGTAAAAAATTCTTAAATAAAGTCATACGACATCTACAAAAGAGATTCGGTTTTGACAAATGCATAAGATATTGAATCAAATAAAAATTTCCTTTATAAAAACTACGATTGTCGAGTAGATCTTGCACTATGAAACATCTCCCGCTTATATCGCTTGAAAATACAGCCTTGATGGAGAGTCAATCTAACGATCCTTGATAGCCATGAGAATGTTTTCCTTCTGATTCATCTGTCTTGATAACCCTTGCGATCTCGCATAATTTTTCACCAATGAAATAATTTCACAACAATCTATTAGATCTAATATCATGGATTCAAACCTAAAAAGACTCTCCCCCGAAAAGAGGAGATAAACCTTGTTTTTCGAAGGAGGTCGAAAAACCCTTGTCTTTTGAAGGAGATTGGAAACCCTTTTTTTCGAGCGAGAAAAGTTCCTCCCAAAAGGAGGAACCATTATTATAAACCTAAAAAAACTTTTTAAGAAACAAGGATAGGGGCTTTCCACCGGTTAAAACCGATGGAAGCCCCTTCAAAAAAACAACAATGGAGGCTAGGGTTGAGGAGAGAAAAAGGAGGAGAGATGAGAGAATTAGGTTTTAGTATGCTTTTAAATTTTCTATTTTTTTTTTTTTTTTTTTTTGAAAGGTATATGTAACTCTTAATTCAATAAGTCTTGTGTAAAGTGGGTGTATATTAATTTTATTGTAAGACAGTCAGTTTGAGGGTAACTTTAACTATTTTTATGATAATTTTAACCACTTAAATGGTAACTTTTAATTTGTCGTTGATTTGAATTTTATTTTAAAGTGTAATTTTTTTATAGATTCATGATTACATACTATAAAGACTAATATGATTAATCTAATACATTAAAAGTTTTTTGTAAGATAAAATTTATTATTAGAAAAATATTAAATTTTGTAGTATAAAGGGTAACTTTAAATATTTTTATGATAACTTTAACTCATCTTACAATAAAATAACGTATATCCGCCTTTTTGGAGAATTTGAGTTCTTAATTTAGGTTGCAAATACACATTTACAATAATTTCTATTCCAGATTAGTAATGATTTTAAAATTAATGTGTTTTCTGTGCAGTTGGTCACACCGTATGGCCGCTTATAAAAAATAGAGTAATAACACTACCAAAAATAACTCCTCGAGATTGAGTAACTATGAAATAACAAAGTAACCTCTACAAAACTACATCATTGACAACGTAACCCCTATATTACTTACTAAGTAACTCATACAACACAAATCGAGTAACCCTTAGAACATAAATTAATCGATTAACCTCATTGTGGCTAGCCACATATAAAAGTTATTGTGTTAAAATACATGTGTGACCAAATAAAATTGATTAAAAACTAATAATATATAAAGGCTTAAGAATCGTATATACATGACATTCATATTATTACCATGCAACAAAAAGAAACAATGACCAAATAAATCAATAATTATTGAGATATATTAGGAAATATTTAGGAGCATATTTGTTTTGGTGAATATTTAGTTTGCCTAGGATATATTTTGCCATAATTATCTTTAGCTTGCCAGCTGTACACGGTTTGGTGAGGCTTAGGAAACTAAGCATATTGTATTATAAATATTCTGCGGATGAATGATGAAAGTAAGCCAAAGTTTTATCACAACTTTACATGGTATCAGGCCAAAGAAATTTTCTTTGAAAGATAATTATTAGCCATGGCTGGCGGTGATGAAACACCACCACCACCACCACCTACAAAAATTGAACTCAATTCACCATATTACCTCGGTTCGCAAGACCAATCAGGGGATTTCATTACTCCTACTTGCCTTACAACAAACAATTATGACTCTTGGGCGCCGACATTCAAACAACATTAGAAGCTCGAAGAAAGTTTAAATTTTTAGATGGCTCGATCAATACACCATCACCCCCTTGTACGAAGTCCGATTGGACGACGATCAACGCAATGCTCATCTCATGGATCACCAATACAATAGACCTCGGATTAAAATCAACTCTGTCCAAATTCAGGGAAGCTAAACCTTTTTGGGATCACCTCAAGCAACGATTTGCTCAAACTAACGTTCCGCGTATTCAACAATTGCGTTCTTCAATCGCAAAGTGTGAGCAAAAAAAATTAATGCTTATTTCTGTGTACTATGGCAAGCTCCATACTTTGTGGCAGGAATTGGACCGTCACGAGCCGTTGGTTTCCTGCTCTTGTTGTGCTTCTTGTTCGGCTGGGAAACTGCACGAATAACGCCGAGCACAAGCACGTTTACATGATTTTCTAATGGGGTTATATTCTGATTTTTACTCTCCCTTACGCACAAATATATTGTCTCAAGACCCACTCCCAAGTCTTGACAAAGCGTACCAGTTAGTGACTCTAGAAGAACGTGTTCATTTATCGAAACAGGAAGTTGAATTCACACCCACTGAGGTTGTTGGGTTTGCTGTGCGTACAGGGTCTGAGGTGGCAGCAGGTGCGGCTCATGTTAAGGGTCGAAACTACGACTAACCCGTCTGCAATAAGTGCCACAAAATAGGACACGAAACCTCTAGCTGCTGGGTAGACATTGTGTGTGGGTATTGTAAGAAAAAGGGGCATCCGGAGAGTCATTGTTATGAACTTGTGGGTAGGCCCGAGAACAAAAAGCCAGGGCAGGGACGAGGACAGGTACGTGCTAATGTGGCTGCCAATTGACTTCTTCATATAATTCAACTATTTCAGCCTTGGGGCAATTATTTACACCGGAGCAATGGAAGGCTATTGCGGGAGTCGTCGGTAAATCTCAAATTCCAGAAAATAGATTGACCGGTAAGTTTGATGCCTCTTCTTGGATTATCGACACTAGCGCAACTCATCATGTCACTGGAAATAATTCTTGGCTATTTGACACTAAAAAATTTGATTGCCCTATTGGGTTGCCGAATGGTGCAAAAGTGGTAGCTACTTTGATGGGATCAGTTCATTTGTCGGATAAAATAACCTTCACCGGAGTTCTTTATTTTCCAAACTTGAATTGCAATTTACTCTCTGTCTCTCAACTTAATGATGATTTACACACTATTGTCCAATTTGATTCTAATGTTTGTGCTATACAGGACCAAACGAAGGAGCTGATTGGAACGGGAACTAGGAGAGATGGACTATACTATTTTAGCAAACCGAAATTTGTGTCAAGTGTTGAAGCTACATCCAATTTGGAGTTATGGCATCGTTGATTTGGTCATCCTTCCGAAAAAGTAGTTAAGTTAATTCCTCATGTTAGTAGTAGTAAAGATCATTTATATATTGGTTGTGAAGTATGTATGTACGCTAAGCATCTGAGAGATAAATTTCCTTTGAGTGAAAATAAAGCTTCTAGAATTTTGAGAAAATACATTGTGATTTGTGGGGTCCATATCGACACGATTCGTCATGTGAAGCTCGTTTTTTTTTTATAATTGTTGATGATCTCTCAAGAGCAATATGGATCTATTTGTTGGTAGATAAATTGGAAGTTTTTCAAATATTTATGTCCTTTGTTGCTATGGTTGATAGACAATTTTCTCAAACAATTAAAGTCGTCCAAAGTGATAATGGGGCCGAGTTTAATTGTTTACTTGAATATTTTAGAGCCACATGAATTTTATTTCAAATATCATGTGTGGGTACTCCTCAACAAAATGGGCGTGTAGAGAGGAAACATAAACATATCTTGAATGTAGGTCGGGCTTTGCGGTTTCAAGCTAAGTTACCTATTTATTTTTAGGGGGAAAGTGTTCTCACTGCCGCTCACTTGATTAATCACACCCCATACACCTTTTGAAATTCTTTTTGACAGGCCTCCCTCGTTTGATGCTATTCGAACCTTTGGGTGCCTATGCTTTGCTCATAATCAGAAAACCAAGGGAGATAAGTTTGCTAGTAGCAGTAGAAAGTGTGTCTTTGTGGGATATCCGTTTGGAAAAAAGGGGTGGAGATTGTTTGACTTGAATACAAAAGTATTTTTTGTTTCACGGGATGTGAAATTTGTTGAGGAGGTCTTTCCGTTTGGGAGTCCGGAGGTTGTGAATATTCACAATAATGAGTATGTAGACCAACAAGTCCATGAGGATTTTGCAGAATTATTTTCAGAGGAAGGGGTTGAAAGTGTCGACCAAAGATGTGAGGAACAAGTCCAACCTCTCATCAGGCCAGACCCAGCGCCTATTTAGCCCAATCCAGCACACGCTGGGTCATTTCAAGACCAGCCCAACTCGCCTATAGTTGAGGCTGCTGACTTTCCAGCACCTGATGGGCCCTCTCTACAGCCCAGCTCGCCTTTTGTTGAGGCCGTTGGGTTTCCAGCGGCAGATGGGTCGCCTCTTCAGCCCACATCCACCCTTCTATTGATGATGGGCTAGTCTCTGATGGGTCATTAAACACGTCTTCCGTTGTGGACGATTCTCAAGAGCAACAATTGGGTCGTGGATTTAAACAAAAATTTCCCAATGTCAAGCATCGTGACTATGTGACACATATGGTTTTTGCTAAAAGTCTACTCTCTCTTCCTTTCGATCACTCCTCAGGTACTTCTTATCCCTTAGCACATTACATAAATTGTGACAATTTTTCTGTAAATTATCAAAGATTCCTTGCAACTATTATTAAGGGTAAAGACCTAAAATCTTTTAAGGAAGCAATGCAATATGATGGATGGCGCCAATCTATGAAAGAAGAAATACGTGCTCTAGAGGACAACGGTACATGGACCTTGGAGCATTTCCCTTCTGGGAAACGTGCTCTCGGTGGTCAATGGGTCTATAAAACCAAATATTTGTCCATTGGCGACGTTGAGCGTCTGAAATCAAGATTAGTGGTGTTTGGTAATCATTAGCAAGCTGGAATTGATTACGAAGAAACTTTTGTTCCGGTTGCCAAGGTGACTACGATTCGTGCTTTTCTCGTAATAGCGGCTTGCAAAAATTGGGAGTTACATCAAATGGATGTTCATAATGCTTTTCTACATGGTGACCTAAATGAAGAGGTCTACATGAAGTTGCCTCCCGGATTTGAAGTTCGGATCCTTCTTTGGTGTGTAGGTTGCGCAAGTCCCTATATGGTTTGAAACAAACTCCCTATTGTTGGTTTGCAAAATTGGTGTCGTCTTTGAAAAAGTATGGCTTTCTCCAATCCTATTCCGATTATTCTTTGTTCACATATACTAATGGCAAATCCCAAATTAATGTCTTAGTTTATGTGGATGATCTTATTATTTCTGGGAATGATTCCGCTGCACTTAAGGTTTTCAAGGCTTATCTTAGTGATTGTTTCAAGATGAAAGATCTTGGAACTCTTAAATATTTTTTGGGCATTGAGGTGGCCCGTAGTTCTTCTGGGTTATTTTTGTTTCAACGAAAATATACTCAGGATATTATTTCTGAAACAGGTTTACTGGGAGCAAAGCCTAGTGGGTTTCCTATTGAACAAAATCATAGACTTGCTCATGCAATTTGCGAATTTATGAAGGATCCCGAAGCATTTCGTCGTCTGGTGGGCAGCTCATTTATCTTGTTGTGACTCGACCGAATTTAGCATATTCGATTCACATTTTATCTCAGTTCATGCAAGCCCCCCGTGAAGATCATTGGAAAGCGGCCTTCAGGGTCGTTCGATACTTGAAAGGGACTCCCGTTCAAGGTATATTATTACGTTCCGATAGTGAACTCACATTGGAAGGATGGTGTGACTCGTATTGGGCGGCGTGTCCTCTAACTCGTCGTTCTTTGACAGGTTGGCTAGTGTTTCTAGGAAAATCACCGATTTCTTGGAAAACTAAAAAGCAAGATACAATTTCTAAATCTTCTACAGAGGCGGAATACAGGTCCATGGCAGGAGTCACTTGTGAGTTAAAGTGGCTTAAGGCTTTATTGTTGAGTTTGGGTGTGCAACATCCTAAAGCTATTAAATTATTTTGTGACAGTCAATCGGCATTGCATATTGCAAGGAATCCAGTTTTTCATGAGCGAATTTTATATATATAAGTTGATTGTCATTTTGTTCGTGATGAGATAAATGAAGGATTAATTACTCCGTCTCATGTGTCGACTACTTCTCAATTGGCGGACATTTTTACAAAAGCTCTCGGAAAGGAGCAATTTGATTTTCTTCTGTCCAAGGTGGCAGTTATGAACCTCATGCTCCAACTTGAGGGGGGTATTGAGATGTATTTAGGAAATATTTAGGAGCATATTTGTTTTGGTGAATATTTAGTTCGCTTAGGATATATTTTGCCATAATTATCTTTAGCTTGCTAGCTGTACACGGTTTGTTGAGGCTTAGAAAACTAAGCATACTGTATTATATATATTCTGCGGATGAATGAATGAAAGTAAGCCAAAGTTTTATCACAACTTTACAATAATTAAGATCATAAAGTAATAATTAAGATGATATCCATGCAATAATTTGACGTTAAAAAAAACAAAAAAAAGAAAGTGTAAAAGAGAAGAAAGCTAAATGTCTAAAAATATAAGTGTCGTAGCAAGAGAAACAGAAAGGACACGTGTAATAACAAGGCATCGTGTCAACTCGACATTACCTCGATTTTCGCAATCTTCCTAAACGAAGGACAGATCGTTAAGCTACTCAGATACGCTGCTTTATTGTTTATACTCTATAATTGGTACTGCTTTTATAATGTGTAACCTTACTCAATTTAGTGAAAGACAGAAAATAAAGAGCAAAATATTCCAAGGAAAGTTAATACAAGTAATACTATACTACTACAATTACTACCTTACAAAATTTAAAGAAGAATAAGAAGTGTTGTGTTAGAATTTTGAATTATTGAAGATGGGAACAGTGGGAAGAAATATAGCTGGACCATTGTTGTTTATAAACTTGATAATGTATGTTATTGTTCTTGGTTTTGCTAGTTGGTCGCTCAACAAGTACATCAACTTCTCTACTCATCACCCTGGTTAGTTTCTTCTCTCTTTTAATTTATGTTTGTTTTTATCGTATCGCTGAATTTTTGAGTTGTATATGTTTATGTACTTGATCGCGCAATTAGTTTTTTTTATTGTCATGATCAACCTCTTGTAGAGATAAGTTATATTGATCGCATTTCTTGGTGTGTAATTAGTTTTTGTATTGTCTCTACCCCTATAAAGGAAAGTTATAATTTATAGAAGTAATTTGGGTGGTTGTGTTATACAAGTATGACATATATATAGTTATACCCTTTTATTTAAAAAGATTCTTTTGAGACTTATTTTTAATTTTAGAAAGATTTTAGGTGCATTCTGCTGTTAATCTAGACAAGTCAACACCCAAATCTATGTATGCTTGCAAAAACATACTAAGGTCAGCTTGTTGACTTGATTATGCAGTCGTTCCTAAGTAAGTTCTGGTAAATGATAAATCTTAAAATATAGAATTTTCATATGTTGGATTATTTTGTTATCTTGAATTATGTTTATTAAAATTTTGAAAGATAAATATTTTGCAAATATACGTTTGAGAACGTATAACAATATTTATGTAGTAAATTTTTTTCTTACAGAAATATTAAACCAAATTATATATATAATCATTTTTTTTTTTTTTTTTGAGAGATAACCAAATTTTATAGTCTTAATATAGGAATGTATATACAATTTGAATGTTCATCTAATTTTACCGAGGAAATAATACAAGAAAAACATGGTGAAATTGTGTATGAAATTCTCTTTTGGGACTTGTTTTCATGGAATAATTGGTGAACTGTAGGTTTGGGAGGCAATGGTGCAACATCTTTCTTCTTAATTGTGGCAATCTTGGCTGGTGTTGTTGGGGTGGTTTCGAAGTTGGCCGGGGCTAACCACATTAGGGCATGGAGAAATGACAGTCTAGCTGCTGCTGGTTCGTCATCGTTGGTTGCGTGGGCGCTCACTGCTCTCGCCATGGGGTAATTATCTCTAATCGTTGTATATGTCATGCTGTTTTCTCACTGGAAAAATACCTACATATGCATGTTTGCTAGATGTTTAGTTTGGAGCCATGTTCTGTGTGTTTTTTTTTTTTATTTTTATTTTTATTTTTTGGGATCGGAAAACAAGATGAATATTTACTACAAGCAAAAGAAATTTATTTATCATTGTACATTTTTTTCTTATGAAAAATCAACCTTCCTGTTTTTTCAGATTAGCTTGCAAAGAGATCAATATAGGAGGATGGAGAGGGTGGAGGCTGAGAGTGTTGGAAGCTTTTATCATCATCCTCACATTCTTCGAGCTGTTCTACGTGCTAGCCATACATGCCGGACTATTCAGCAGTCGATATGGCCCTGGGTATCGAGAACATGAGTATGCCATGGGAGCTCCAGGAACAAATGTCGATCCAAAGCATGGACAAACCACAACTAGGGTTTGAAATGATAACCTAATAATTCTATAGGGTAGAATGATGTATGTGAAGTTAATGGTTGCTAAAAAGAATGATGGATTTTCATTGTCCTAGGGTTTTTTAAATATCCCCTTTTGAACAGATAAGGATGCATGATGTTTTCATGCGTGTATGGATAGGTTTTGTGTGAAAGTTGTCTTGTATGTTATTAAGACCTTTGTGGTTTGTAAGATGTTTCATTGCACTATATTGCATGTAAGAACCTTTTAATGTTTTATCCGAAATAGTTTTTATAATATTTGATGAGAATAATGTATATAGGTTGTGTGTGGAAGTATGTAGGCTTTTTTTTTTATTAGTGTTTTAGTCACCTACGTCAGATTTTAATGTATATTTTTTAGTTTATATATCAATAAAGGCTTATATAATTAATATTAACGTTAAAATATAATCACGTATTACAAATTAAAAATTACCGTTAAATAGATTAAAGTTATCTTCAGATTGATCTTTAAAAAAATTAACGAGAGTCAATTGTATTTCAAAAAAATTTCATATTTAAACTATGTTTTGCTCGGTAATGAGTAGATGATAAATCATTCTTGTTACTTATCCATTTTCTACATCCTGATATATACCGGATCATTCAAGGTTTGGCTAGGCTAAGTTAGAGGAATGTGATGTTGGATGGGGCAAGTTCACCCATGATTGGACCGTGTTGACACATGATCAGACCGAGTTTGTCACCATGTTCACGACCGAGTTTGTCACCATGTTCACATTTCCTTGGCTCTGGGTCGGACCGAGTTTGTCACCATGTTCACAGTTCCTTGGCTCTGGGTTGGGAAGAGAGTTGGAGCCTTTTCTTCTATTAAAATACGTTGTATAGGTCAGTTTGCGAGGTGGGCTGCGTTTATAGCAAGTTTAATTGGGATAGTGCCCAATTAGTTTAATTAGGCTTTTGGCAAAAATTTCAATTGTGACCCATCCAGCTTAAATGGGTAGTGTTCATGGTGATTGTAAAATTTGTAGTAGGCTAAGTATTTAAGGTGGATTATTTTATAAGAATTTCGATTATATTTGAATCATACTTCCTCTGTTCCGCAAATATTGCAAGAAGGATGAAATTAAGCATCTTAAAGCACATTTTATATGTTAAATATCCATAATTATATAAGAGTAAAAATTATAAAAAGTTGATATTGTGAAAGTATTTTACGAGACGAATCTAACAAGATCCCACATAACTATATTTTACTTTACCGTATATATCATAAATGTGGTCAAACAAGCGTGATAAATAGTGCAAAAGTTCAGTTGTTGCAATATTACTAGAACGGAGGAAGAATCTATCTTAAAAATTTACTAGTGTCTCGACCCAAAAAAAAAAATATTAAAAAAAAATAAAAAAATTACTAGTGTTACTGATGATTTGGTTTGATTTTAATTTTAACAAATCCAACTTTCTATTGTTTCAAAGCTAGACAAAGCATCTATTTTCTTTACTGACCTTGATAATATCCTAGACAATATTCTGTTTGTGAGTTCGTCTTTTGATTTTGTGGGTTGGTCTCATGTGAAACAGGAGGGTAATTTTGTAGCTCATTACTCTCTCTATTTTGAAAAATTTGAAATAAATAATCTCACCTTTGCCTCATCTTTTCAAAACAATCACACCTTTGCGTATTCTAGAAATAATCCCACCTTTACCCCCATCTTCTCGAAACGAGCCTTTAATCGATTTGTAAAATTAGTAACCTTTTGTAGAAGGTCATTTACCACATGTCACCTTCTGATTGTTTTATTTTTTAATTTCTTATATAAAAAAAGAGGAAAACAAAAAATAAATAATAACCCTTGCTTCCCCTTCCCTCCCCTACTGGACCAGCAGCCCGCCGGTCGGACCTAATCGCCTGCCGGATCATCGAAACCCTGCCACCCGCTGGAGTAGCCGAACCCAGCAGCTCGGAATTCCCCTTCCTCTTCCCCTTTGCTGATTCCCTTTCTAATCGAACACCAACTTCACTGAAACTACCCCCACCACCTTCGTCACTATCACATTCTCACCACTATCTCTCATCTCCAAAGCACTGTTGCACACTCGAACTAAAGCCAAATACACCTGCCCACTGGCTCGAAAGCAGCCCACAAACCCCATGCCTCACCGTCGTACAACACCTAACTCATCCACACGCAACAACCACCAAAAACGCACCTCACCAGCGGCGCCACTCCACCATGCTTTCGGCCAAACAACAATCCCGACAACCACCAATTCGAACGAAAATAGGGCTTAGAATTCGCAACACAGCCCACAAATCAGCCAAAATCGAGGGTATTCTAGGGAGGAGGGGTTTTCGTTGCCGATCCTAGAAGTCGGCCAGCTTCCCTCCCCTTCCAATTCAGGTGGGGTTTTGGGTTAGGGGTTAGGGGTTAGGTGGGGGTTCGGGTTGTGATGTTTGGTCATGGCAGCCCTTTCGGATTTCGCGGTGGGGGTCAGTTCGGTGGTGATGGATAGTCATGGACTCATGGTAGTTGACACGGAAGAATGGGTGAGGTGGGAGAAAAGGAATTAAAGAAAAATAAAATTAAGGAAAAATTCACAACAATAATCCCACCTTTTACAAGTCTTTTCAAAACAATCCCACCTTTTAAAAATCTAGGAATAATCCCACCTTTTAGGAGTATCTTCTCAAAATAATCCTTAACTTGCTTGTAGAAAATATATCAGGTAAACTTGACACATGTCTTGTTCTAAGTGGTCCTTAACATATTTTTTTATAAAATCAGAAAATAAAATAATCAAACTTAATTAAGAAATAATTAAAAATTAATTAAGAAATAATATTTTTTTATAAAAAAAAACCAACCACCCCTCCCACCCACCACAACCCATCCCCCCACCCCAACGTCGGCGCCGACGGCTATTTTCCCACCATCGGCTGGCGCAGACAATTACTCCCACTAGCGAGCCCCTCTCTTTCCCCCTCGCCCTCGTTCCTCCCTTATCCCATTACCACACAACCCACCACGCAACCCAGCCAAAAAATAAACCCGACTACCCTCATCGTCCCTTAAACCATCACGAAATAGCGCGCCACCCCTCCCGCCCTCCTATGGCGAGCAACCCAAGCTGCAATCTGAGAACCGAACTTCAATCGACCCAACTCACTGAGTGCACTCAGCAACTCGTTAAAATCAACGGCGATTCCAAAAGCATCTTGAAACGACATCGTATCGTGCCAAGCATAGTTTCCACTAGTAGAAAAATTGAAATGAGCACCGAGGATATGGCACCGGTTCTTAAAAACCAGTGGGAAAAAAACAATGTGGGACTTAGTGAAAGAGAATTCGCACCGGTTCAAACCGGTGCCAATTTTTTTTAAAAAAAAACCCGCCCCGCCTTTTCCTTCTCTCCTCCTTTTCTGTTTTCATTTTCGAGCTTCAATTCAATTCAAGGCACTATTTATTCCCTCCTCTTCAAACTCCCTCCTCTTTCGAAAATACTCAACAGCCCCCTCCACCATTGTCGTCACCTGCATCAGAACACTAGCCACCCTCCTTCACCGGCCACAGCAAAGGAGTCTACTGCAGTACTAACCGGAATCCCCTTCAGACCGCAGACACGCATCCCCCTCCACCACTGCCGCCCATGCACCGGAATCCGGCCCCTCCAATGGCCACCGCGAAGGTCTCCACCGCAGCCACCCCCCTTCTTCGTCGTGGTGTTTAATTACAACACTTCCACCACAGCCACCCCCTCCAATGGTCTAGTGGCTTGGCTCCAACCACATTCTCCATTTCCGTCTCCAAACACGCCACTTTTCACCTCCTTAAGTTAGGGTTAGTTCATTTATCAACTACTTCCCTCTTCCATTGATACATTATTTGGGCAATTGAGCAAAATAGAGTTAGGGTTTTAGTTAATTTGTGTCTTTATTTTCTATCAATTATTTTAATTAATTTGTATTATTTCAATTAAGCTTTTCCACTATTAATTATTACTTTAATAGTCCATGTTATGTGTAGAATTTTTTTTGTTTTAATTAATTCATTTTTTTGTTTTAATTAAGCTGCAGTTTTCTTAGCTCCTGGTTTCAGAGAAGCCCATTGCTGTTAATTTTTGTGAATTTGTTTTTTATGTGATTGTAATTTTGATTTTTGAGATTGTAGGATGATGATCATACGAAATAGGCTGCTATTAGTTATGTATGATGGGTTGTTATTGGTATGTATGCTGAGTGTTATTTTATGTGTATATGTTATGGGTGCTGGTGAATCTTAGGGATGATTTTGTTGAATGAGGTGACATTATTTAGGGATTTTTCCTGCCTTTTAAAATCAGGTGTGTGTGTCCGCTTGCTCGTTTAGTGTATAGCGGTCATGATGTTTATGATCAGGGGAGGTGGTTTGGAACAATGTTGCCGTGAGCTGTGATATATAGATAACTAAGATAAGTGTGGGTTGATTTAGATGGTTTGATGCTTACATACTATGTAGTATATGCATGGACTAATTGATAAGTTTGTGAGTTTTGGTAGTCTACTTAGCAATATGTTTCTACATTGTTTGAATTTTTATGCTTTTATTTTCGGTTTCTCTTGATGAATGATGTTTATAATTTAGCAATGTATGTAGGTACTAATTAATTACTAAGTTTTGTTTATTTTTTTTATTTTTATAGATTCATATTTGAAGCACAAGTTTAGCTTAAAGACTACATATTTAGCTCAAGTGGGAAGTTAGAAAGTGTACATCCATTGTACTTGATATATTGGTATGAATTATAAACTTTACTAAGTTATATTTCTTTCTCTTTATCTAGTTAATAAAAGTATTTTCATGCTATTACAACTTATGTAATGTTTAATGACAAATAAATGCAACTATATATATAGAATGCTTGCATCATCATACGCCTAGATACCCGTTCAAGGCTTTCTCATTAGGAGAAAGTCTTGAATAGTCCCCGATTGGGACTGTTCTTGAACGTTTACTCTCACTTAGGTGGTGAATGTATGTCTTTTTTGTCAATTTTAAGGAACATCTTGGCTTACCATTTCCTTACCATGTTCTCTGTGTACATATGTGGGTAAGTAATTATCTACATCGTGTACTAGAAGAATTAGGGGAAAATGCTGCCGGATTTTCCTTAAAATTGGAAAGTCGACCTACATTCACTAGTGACATTAGACGTTCAAGGATGGGTTAGGTTGGAGTGATAAGGACCCTTTGGAAGCATGCATTTTTTCACTATATGAATGAAATATGCATGGTGTGTGTTTGAATTTGATTACAATATATATGTAGCAATTATACATTATTCATAATATG